GAAAAAGAGGCCAAAGGTAAATCAGAAATGGACTAACTGATTTCTTTTAGTAAACTGAAAGTAACATTTAACGTCATTGAAGTTAAAAACATTCTGCAATGACCAAGGCGTGGTGCACTGTCCGTCTATCAATAAGCCCTTCATTACGAAGGATGAAGTGTAATATCTACAAAGAGGAACGTGCAAGCTTTACGCTTCTATGGATATAAACTTTGGTTGCCTATTCAAATGGAGTCCACTCCCTCTGACTGTCAATTGGCCATCATCGTTTTCATGCACTCGAAGTTTCAAAAAGCAAAAATAACTGCCGCGATACTAGTTTGACATTTTGTGCTCTTTCTTATTTAATATGGGTAGTCCATAATCGGTGGGCTTTGCCGCTCTCTCTTATACCCTGCTCTAATCTCGCTCTTAGCCAATCAGAACGCGCGTTATATCGGCCACAAACCTAAGCCATATAATAATGATCCATAAAAACCATAGTTTCTTTATTTCTGGTCTTTGTGTCCTCAGCCTAAGAAACTCGTTATATTAATAACTGAGCACTTTTCAAATTTCTTTTACAGGTTTGAGCTGTCTGAAGAATGTCCTTTTCTGGCCTTAACTGACCAGTCTCTATTCATATCTTATAATGAATATCGAAAAAGAGGAAATTGATTACGTAATCACCTTCGTTCTTATTTAAAGTAGCTGGAGTTCTGTTTTGTTTCATTATCGAGTTTACCCTCATGTTTTACGTATGATATTGTTCACAGTTTGAATCGCTCACGCAGCTAGTCCTTCCTGTTTGAACCGGTTTAATATTATACCCTTAGCAGTGAACGCCCCCCTTAGTATGTCGAAGTTGAAGTTTTTTATCGAAGGAGTCACATCGTAGTGTTTTACTACAATTTTGTCTGTTCGAGTTACGCAACGTAGGAGTTTCTTTACGCCTTTTAGACAGGATCAGATGTAAGTTGTAATCTATTTTATTCCGTTTCTTTTTCCTTTCGATCCCTTTTCTTTTGTAATTAGTCTTAGCTCTTTTCCTTGTCTTGTTCATTGTAATTTTTCCCTTTTAGTTTTCACCGCACGTGTACAATATTCAAACGAGTCGATGATCAGATTAAATGCTGTTGAATCAACTTGTGTTGTCTATTTTTGCACTGTGGTTGACACTTCCCGAACTCCAGTGCACCACGCCCCGCGTCCACTGCACTGGGGTACGCGACATATCAGAACAAAGTATACTTGAATGTCGACAAATTCTTGAATTAACGAGATCTAATTACTCTCCAAACTGTCCAAGATGGTAACCGACAACAGGTTTTTCCATAATGATGGAAGTAGTGTATCCCAGGATTTTATGTATCACAG